CAGAAAAATCAAAAAATGGGATCATCTGCGACAGACTCTCAATTTTCATAGTCTGGTATACATGGGAGACCTGGAAAAACATAGATAAATAAAGGCTTCAGTACATTCCAATTTAAATGTTATTAAACAATGTTTTTCTTTATATATAAGCAATGGCTTGGCGAAGTTTATAATATATAAAATATATAAGTACCTGCTGAAGTAGCCTCAGGGTAGCAAGTTTTTCAAGAGCTGGAACATATTGAGACAATTGCAATTCGGGTACAGATGAGGCTGATGAAAGCTTACCTCCAAGCTTAGATATTTTTGTGAACAACAGTTGCAATTTTAATGCAAGATCGAGAGGGAAGAACTCATGCTCCAAAAGATGATAAAGATCTTTAATTTCCTGAGTCGCACAGCTCAGGACTCCTTTAGACACCTAAACAAAAGCACAAATCTACTAAGAAAAGAGAACAAGAGTTATTGGCTACATACTTAAAGTTGTCAGAAATATGGAAAAGTGAGAAAGAGAAATTAAAGATCTTCTACTTAACAATTCAAAAGAATGTGAAGCAATCGAAATATCATAAATTTGAAAGGCAGAAGGGAAAAGACAACAAAAATGTCCAAGTCAACCGAGTCAAACATACCAGTTCAGAGAGAAGATTTTCCCTCGAAAGCTGGAAAAAAAAAACAGAAACAGAAAAGAGTAAGGCAATATGCAGGTTGTGAAAAATAATAAGTTAAAACCAATTAAGCAAATGCATTACCACATCTCTACTTTCAAGTTTGGAGTCTAAACTGAACCCTATGAGATTAGCCATCCTCAAACTGCGCTCTTTCTCATGTTCCAGTTCTAAATGTGATGCACCATGCTTGGAGTCATAGGGGGGCACTGCAAGAGCTGCTAACACAACAGATGATGCTATCAGCTGTAGATCCTTCTGGCTTAGATTTTTGTTGAAACTCTTCTGAAGGGAGAAAAGTTTAAGCCATGCATAGGCATGATAAAGATTACTATCCGATATCCAGAAGATCTCTGTTAATTTGGCGTAGTAAACCACCATCAACGATGCCTTGGGTGTTTTCTTCACCATACACATCAAACCATGAATATCTTCCACAGAACGAAAAGCTTCCTGCAAATAATGGTAAGAAGGAATCATTTGAATTGCATTATTCGTAGAAGATAATCAAGATATGAATTGAAGGAATCTAGACATTACTTCCTCTATATGAGGGAGAAAAATTAAAGAACTCAAAAATTCAGACCTGCCAGAGTTCAAGCTCCGTGGCAACCTTCAGCTGTTCAAATCTTGTGTCAAGGTACAACTGCAAGCTCTCTGGAGCAGATAGGTCAGGCCGATCTCTTTGGTCTCTATACTTGTTGAGGTTAGCAAGATGATTTCTGATAATTTCACATAATCTGCGAAATTCTGTTGTTCTTTTGTACAGCTTACAAAACTGGAAGGCACGATGGGCTGTCATCTACAAATGAAAAAACGCCAGAAGAAATATTACATCTTGGTACAAAATCCAACCTGGTTCATCCAGTCTATAAAGAGCACAGAACACATCAATGTCCAAACTGAGTAAGGCACAAAATCTTGTTTCCTCCTCTTTGAAAAATTACAAGTAAAAAATGAAATTGTGAAAGTAATCCTATGAAAAGCCAACATGCCCACCAAGGCTCAACACTCCATTCCTCAATCTTCATAACATTAACTAATTAATTCATAGCCTTCATGTTATCGCTAAAAATTCAAATACTTGTGGCAAAATAGTTCCAAAAAAACTTAAACATATCTCCCAGGTACAGATGCAAAGAAACTTTCTTAAATCCTCCAACCATCAGAACAATTAGCAAGCGAAGTTCAAATTTGACGAGATTTTAACAACCATCCCCACACCCTTATCATTTATCAGTAGATATAAACTGAAAACTAACTCATACACCAAATAGCTGTCAATCAAGGTATGGCCTACCGCATAAAGTGCTTCCAACTTTGAGTTATTCCTTAGTATCTCAAGAACTGTTCGATATGTCTCCCACAGAAATTTAAACCAAGGGGTAACAAGTTCGCGATCAGATCTATCCTTTCCTTTCTCCCCACTGACATAACTAAGCATCAGATCTTCTGGTCTTTTATCGGCTTCCAAGTCATCAACATCAAGAGCTTCTTCTAATGCTTGAGCTTGATTACGAGCCTGCTCTGCCTTCTCAGTGGAAAGATGCATAAAGTGCTTGATTACTTCCTCTAAAGAAGTAACATTGACTTGCTGGCAAACAATACGGTACTGAATCAAACCATCCTTTGCAAATCTTCCTTTCCTCATGTCCACACAAAGCTCAACATACTTAAACATAATCCTTTCAAGAGGTTTCTGCCATGCTCTATATTTCTTTGAAGTTATAAGATCATGAAGAGCTTGCAAGGCATCCTGCTTCTGGCCAACATTTATCAGCTCTGGATAAATGTAAGGAGAAAAAATATTAATGCTAGCGACCTTTCATTTACCAAAAAACCAGTAAACACAGCATTCATTTCAAAATAGGGTGAATACAACGTCAGTGGTAGACTAGAAACATATATAGGAAACTCGGGGGCAAGAAGCACAATTCATAACAAAGGCAAAATGACATTTTGTACATCTAGAATTTTGTTATACACACTATAATATAAGAAAAAGAAATGAATAGATAGGACACACAAAAACAATTGAAGAACCAAATTACATGGTTATAAAATGGAAGAACCAATTACATGTTAAATAATGCAAACCATAAACATGTGGTCTAAATTATAGTGTTCACACATCATAGGCCTATAACGAAACAACTTCCACAAGTTATCAAACTCAAAAGTAATAACAGTATGGCATGAAGATTATCACATTACAATTTTCAAGAGGGAACTTCCAAAATTAAATTTACTTAATCCACAAGTGTTCATAAATGAATAATACATATATTGTATATGTCACTCAAAACATGTACACCGAACCAACTTTCCAACAAACAACGGATGAAAAAGATTCATTGAACATTCAGAATTCATCAAAAGGGTCATACATACTGCAAAAACGAAGTACACCCTAAAAGTCGTGGTATACTTTAAAAAACAATGCAATCTACAGAAAACCCAAAAGAGAATTTTATGTCCGTTCACCTTCAGCTCGTTTTAAAGCATTCTCTGGCTTGACAAAAGAAGCCATGGGTTGATCAAATATTTAGCTCACTCAAGGACAGCATGCAACGTCAAATGACCTGAGCCACACATGAAGAACCAGTGTGAATACAAAAACCAAACGACGGAAGTGAATGGGCACTACTAATACAACATCAAAGTGGATAATGAATAANGGGGGGGCGGGGAGGTTGTTGCTCGATGAATCCACCTCATCTACGACATTAAAATGAATTTTTCAATCCAACCACAGGCCAAAACTATAGATTCAGAAACGCATAGTATTGACAAGAGAATTTAAAGAATACAAAAACTACTCATCAATGTAGTAAACTTAGACTGCTACGTATAATACAGGCAAAAAAGTGGTTATTATTCCGCTCAAATAAGCATAATACTTCAATTAGTAACAAATTCACCCGTAAGGAAGTATATACATCAAAATCGATAACCCTCCCTCGACCCAAAAAAGAGAAGATTCCGAAACGCCTTCAAAAATTTCGAGCGAGGACACAAATGCGTAGTAGCACATATCCACAACAATCGGATTGAAGGTCGATCTCCGGGAAAAATCGGAAGGAAGGTAGTCGATTCAAGGGGCGAAATCCAAGTTATCGCTAACCTAATAACTCCCAAAACCATTCTAGAAAAAATATACCAAAAACATACACCTTGCAGATCCACAAAAACATAACCCATTACATGAAATTATACGCCGAAGAATATCGAACATACCCGAGGAACCTATGATTGTAATCTTCGGATTTCAGAGTTGTTACCCCAATATAAAATTCAAAAAAAAAAAAAAAAAAAAAAAAAAAAAAAAAAAAAAAAAAAAAAAAT